TACTGGGGAGATAGCTCAGCAGTCTAAGCTCCTGCCTGGAAAGCACAAAGACCCAAAATTGGGTGTGGTGGCACACACCTGTAATCTCAGCACTGGGGAGGCTGAGACAAGAGGATCATTATGAGTCTAAAGTGCATAAGAAAACCCTTTAACAAATAAATACTTTTTTAAAAAAAGAAAGAAAGGGACAGGAGGAGGGACAGAAGGAGTGTGAGAGGAATTCTTTTAAGAAGAACAAAACTGGCTGTATTCACATAACATTATCACCTGAATAGACAATCTATAGAAGCTACAAAAATTTTCTAACCTAGTAAGTACATTTATCAAGGTGCATAAAATTATGTTTTATTTCTATTGGCTAGCAATGAACAATTTGAAATGAAGATGTAAAAGAAAACACCAATTTAGAAAGCACAAAAATGAAATTCTCAATATGTGTCTAACATATATAAACAGAGATAGATAGATGATAGATAGATAGATAGATAGATAGATAGATAGATAGATAGATAGATAGATAGATACATAGATACATAGATACATAGATACATAGATACATAGATACATAGATACATAGATACATAGATAGATACATAGATAGATACATAGATCAATTAATTTAGATTTTATTTTATTTTTCCTGTTTGAATCAGCCCAAAGATCGTGTATAGGGTTTGGATCAGATGCATACTTTCAAATTGCTCCCCTCCACAGTCTAGCTAGTAAGCCATCAGCATCTCAGTTCCCTCCTTGATATTGATCTCTATCTTACTTTCATTGTTCAACATGGCTATATTTAAGATATTTCAGTAGCAGGACATGGAGTAAGTTCAATGTTTCCAACAAATATGTTTCATGCTATAACTGTGTTTTTTTTTCTTTAATGGGATTTGTTTTTCTCTTTTTTTCTGACTACCATCAATAATTTCCAACAATCTCTTAACGCACTGGACTTCTAGCAGTTGTCTCTAATAATACTAAATAACATGGCTTATGCTCTCTTCTTACCACTTCACTATATACCATGTTATTCTTTCATGGCTTAAATTCATCATGACTCCTATTTTAAAGAATTATGACCAGTCTTTTGAGTTCTTGTAGATATTCTATAAAATCTTCATGCTATTGACTCTCAGTTACCACTTTTAATATGTACATTTACATGAAATGCTAACCAAGGCTGAATAAATCTACTGTATTTAGCTGCACTACCCCAGATGTCTAAGATACACCTTTTGCATGATCACATATAACTATTTGGGAACCTGCATATATAATTATTGGGATGATTGAGATTATACTTATTCTACCTTGAGAAATTATTAAATAAACTAAATTTTTATTCATTTTTCTTTATTCAGAGTTTAAGTTTTTTCATTTATGTATTTGGTACAGGGTCTCGCTATGTAGCTTGTATTCCTACTGATCCTCCAGTTTTCAGCCTCCCCAGAACTGGGATTACAGGTGTGAGCCACCACACCCAGACACTTGGGGGCAGGGCCAGAGCGATATGTGAGGGACTGGGGATCGAATCCTGGACCCTGCACTTGCCAAAGCAGGTGCTTAGTCTACTGAGCTATCTCACTAGACCCAGAGTTCAATTTGGAGAATAATCTCCATCAAAGTTTTCTGAATGAAATTAAGGGAATATATGAGTGAGTTTAATCTCGAAGGAAAATAATGTATCTAAATAAGGAAAACAATTTAAAACAGTAGTTCACAAACCTTAAAAGTCTTTACACAAACATGAGTAACTTCTTTAGAAACTGCAAGCTGGGTTAACTTCTCAGAAATTCTGTCTCAATAGGTCTTAGAATGATTCTTAATAATTTTTGTTTCTTTTTCTAAAATATCCACAGTTTTGTGTATGGGTATAAAGTATATTGTTTCGATTCATGTATTCATCCCACATAATTGTGTGATTAGTATACATATAACATTTTTTTAAATTTTAATTCATTTTAAATCCTCTATCATTAAGATTTTGAGATATATATTGAATACATAATGCATTATAATTAAGTGTATTCACTTTAACATTCATTTATAACAAGTTCCCAAAAATGATGATTCTGATCGATACTGAATAAAATTTGGAGAACAGATAGTTTAAAATAATTAATCCATTGATGTAAAATATTTGTATTGCATTACAGTGAACTTTTAACTGAATGCCAATTTTATTTTATTTTACTTTAGTTTTAGCCCTTTTTGTATTTGGTACAGGATCTCACTACACAGCTTGGATTCATAGTGATCCTCCTGTTTTCAGCCTCTCCAGCACTGGATTACAAGCATACCCAACCACGACCAAACTTGATCATGGTTCAGGGCGCCCTTGAGGTGCCCTGATGATGTGGGACTGGCCTGGATGTGGGACCAGGAATTGAACCCTAGTCCCTGTGCTTGCCAAAGCAGGCAATTAGTCCACTGGGCTATTCTGCCGGCCCATAAATGTCAATTTTTATAACAAATGATAGTACGGAAAATATCCCAAATCATTTACAATATGACCTGTATGAAAAGAATCAAAGCCAATATAGTTATTAAAACATCTGAACTTGTAAGTTTTTAGTCTTCTCTTTACCATTAATTTTTTTTCTTTCCATTTGTACTATTCTAACTTTCATTTCTAACTAAAAGTAAAGCCCAGGATCAGCGTAATAGCTTAGTGGCAGGGCACTTCACTAGCAAGTACAAAGTCCTGAGTTCAATTCCTAATTCAAAAAATGAAACAAAAATGTAAATACCAGTGTAACATTCATTTTATGCTCTTCCTTTACATAATCATTCAATTATTCTGAACTTTTTATTTATATTTACTAAAATTTTCATTTCTCTCTTCCCAAACACACACAAGCATTCATACACACCTACAGCAGAATACATGGAAGACAGGTTTTTTTGTTTGTTTTGTTGTTGCTGTTGTTGTTGAATAAAAATAGAAATTTCAGACAAAAAATCACCAGGAAAATTTACTCAGAAAAATTCTATTTGTATTTATTAAGATAAAAAAATTGAATATATGTTTTTAAAATTACTATAGCATCCAAGAAATTCAATATTGACAGATTGAAACTGTATAACTTGCATCCCAATTTCAAATTTCATCCAACATTTAGTAATTTTGAAAATATCAGGGCCAGCCAAATAGCTTAGTGGATTAAAGTGACTGCAAGCAAGCACAAGGGGCTAGGGTTTGATCTCTGGGGCTACCATGCTGGCCTGGCTCCCATGTCACGCTGAAAGGGCGATTGAGACTGGGTGTGGTGGCGAGTGTCTGTAATCCCAGCACTTAGGAGGCTGTAAACAGGCAGATCACTACAAGTCCAATCTAGTAGTGAGACCCTGAACACCCTGAAGACCGTTCCCTAAAATATAGAAAAAGAAAGAAAACATCCATTTTAATCATAGTAACGTGAGGTAACTATTTTCATAGAAAAAAATTTTACCCACCACCAAACAAACAGAAACATATAAAAATAAATAATTTTAAAATCAGTTTTGTGTAATTCAATAAATTTCAAATAATTCATCTACCTTTTCCATTTTTATTAATATTTCTCTTTTTTCCTCACAATTTAAAGAGGGATGCGACAACACTGAGTTAAGTGACAGGAAAAGAAAGGAACCATATTTAAAACAATAATGAGTAGCAATAGGTTGCAGTGCATATCGGCTTTGTCCAATTTTAATACTGAGAAATTTGTATTTCAAAACACACTTATGAATAGTAACACTCCTGTCAGAAAGGCTACTCCAGAGTTGACATATGTTACTAGTGCTTTATTACGCATAGAGAACAAAGAAACAAATTGCTGATTTTTCTTAGGACATTTGGCAATGCTGAAATTCAAAATGGCATCATAATAAAATGGTAGAAAATATTTCTTAAATAGGTTTCTCTTGGCTCAAAGAATGTGTGGTTTACTAATAGTCCTAATTGTGAGTTCATATTTTATGGGGGGATGACCAATGATTGTTCAAACTTTTAATAGTTGTCATAATGAGGGGAAATACACACTGCACCTGAAGGAAAAAAAAAAAAAAAAAAAAAAAAACCTTTGCTGTGCTCTTACTGGTAAAAAGGAAAAAAAAATTGATTCTTCTTTAATCTTGCTATTTAATTTTAATCATGTGATAAAACCCCTTCATACTCAAATAATCAATGGGAAATTAAACTTATTTAGAATCATTTACTTGTCTTTGCAATTAACTTTTCAAAATGTGTCACATGAATAAATTATAAAATGTTTAAGTATGAATAATTACAATATTTGATTTACATAGTACACATGCATGAATAATTTTGCTAGTAAATAATGGGTAAAACAAAATAAATATCTCAAAGCAAAGTAACATTTCTAGTTTCTATTGAATACCAAGTATGAGATAATTACTGAAACTTACCTTTGAAATTCTTATAAAATTTTATATTACCACCCCTCTGTTCAAAGAAAGGATATTGTGGTATCATGAGTTATACAGTACAACTTTCTTCTCTCCATAGTGTTCTTATTACTGGTAACAATCTAGGATAAATAGAAGATGAAGTCATCATATACAGCAATCCCTGGCTTTTTTGCTGTTTGACTTTCACAGGCTCACTGTTTTGTGGGTTGTCAAACAAACAATATTAATCTAAATTATTTATCATGCATTTTTTGCTATATTGTGGGATTTTACAGTATCCTATAATACTCGTATGTTGTGAAAATTATGTAGGTTTACTAGTTTAGAAAACGGTAAGGAACATTAGAATTGTTTTTAAAGGTGTGGGAAAGGTTTATAAATATGGGAAGGGTTTATAAAGCCTTAAAAAATACATATATAAGTACTAAAATAAATATAATGTCCCTACTTTACTGATTTTCACTTGTCACAAGGGTGTCAGCAACATAACCTCCATGGTAAGTGAGGGACCGCTGCACACTCCAAGGACTGTGTCCACCCTCACAGATGGTTTTCACGCACAGTTACCAGTCAGTGCGACAGCCTACCGCCTGATTTTCTCCTTTTCATCTTCCCCAGTGATGACTGCATTTTTGGCTTTATCATTACCCTCTTTTTTCTTCCATCCTGTCTCTTTCAGGAAATCCATTTACAGATTCACATTCACTAATTTACTTAAGTATTAAATGGCTTGTTTTTATAAAATGTATGATAATTTTCAGTTATGTGTCTTTATGCTTTGAATGTTCTGTATGAGGTACAACTATGTAGAATAACACAATACTCAGCACATAATAGGTAAATAAAATGCCTAAATAAACTGAGTTTAAAATATCTTCTTTTGTTACCATGCAACTTTGATAAATAATTTTACTTGAGGAATAATGTTTTAATATAATAGTTTGCTTCTAAAACAATTTCAGGATAGTATCATTCCTATTTAATGTTAAAGAAAAATATCCAGGATACTTAATTTCTGAAATATTATAAAGGGAATTGTAAGTTTTTCATGAAACTGAGAAAAAATGTTTGCCTTGTGTTTTAACCTTGTTGTTTTTTTTTTTCTTAAATGTTAAATATTAACCTACCAAACTGAATAGACATTTTATTTGGAGAAGTTGCTCTGGTTTATGTAGATATTATGCAGTAAATATAATATATAAACAGGAAGTAATTTTTTATTAAAAAATAAAATACAGATTCGAATATCAGAAATACTTTATATTTATCAAAATATAAGACTCAAGTCTTTTGCAAAACAGAAAGGTCAATGTATTACACCCAAATATAGAGTTCTAAAATTAATGCTATAGCTTTTACACTGAGTTTTCACTGACTAACTTAAGTATTCTCACCTGAAAACACTTCTTTTTCCTCTTTGCACTTGGCTTAAAATAGTTTACAACCTAAAATGTCAGTTCTATCCCTGAGGTTTTGTACTTACTCTGTGGTGCAAATGTTCATATATTTTGATACAATAATTTTTTATATTCGTGAAATTTAATTTCCAATATGTATTTTTTGGATAAGGTTGAACTGACCACCTAGCATAAACTACTTTCTATCCATTTACTCTAATAACATCCTAACTGTAGTTATAAAATGTTTGTAGGTTTATATGTCTATATTTCTGTAAATATAATAAATCCCCTGAATAAAATGTGTAGTATAATTATTAGAAGAAACATAGATGTTGTCCATTAAAAAAAATAGTAATGACTGCTTTTTTACCTAAAGCATTAATAGTATAGTAAGAGACTATGGAGATTATATCTATATATATTATTTATTCCAGGCCCTTTACACCACTGTTCTTTTTATTTTATTGCTTTATTTTTATATAGCACCATGCTGAATTGTCCAGGTATGACTCAAACTCACTAGCCTCTTGTCTTGCTTCCAAATTGCTGAGATTATAGGTGTGAAGGGCTATAATCAGCTATTGCTTGGTTGTAGTGCTCAGTTAGTAGGAAAATTTGTAGTTTCAAGAAATGTATATTTCTTTTTTTTTTTCAGTGTTTAAAATATTTCCATGGTTTATTTTTTTATTTTTTTTTTATTTTATTT